TGTCAGAGCAGAATCGGGCCCAGGTGAGGACGAAATACCTGGGCCAGATTATTAGTTCAGCTATTGGGTAGATGACCTGGTGTTGTAGCTGCCACAACAGGGCCAAAGCTCAGTTATCTGCTGGTTTTAGGACCCAGCCAACCTGTCTCTATGAAATATTTCTGAAGCATTCATCACATCCTGGTGCCCAACCTCCCTTTCCTCCCCCAAACATTCCTTTCCTCTACTTCTCTTTCTAAAAAAACCCTACCGACCAAATAAATCTGAGCATTCAGTTCTCGCTTCCAACTCTGCGAGCCCACGCTGCACACAGTGCAGGCCTGTCTGAAGCGAAAGCCCTTTGATGCCGTGTGCAGTGTATTGCCAACTCTCCCAAACCATTCATCTCAGGGTGACCTGGGATCGGTGCCATGAATTCAGCGTGCATTAGCCATCAGAGCTGGGGGGGAATGGGGTACTTCCACAGACACGGTCGTGAAAGGTTGTATTTCCTCACTTTGTGCTGGGCTTTCTCTCCGGGTTATCAAGATGCTCAAGATGCAAACAATAACAAACTCCTCTCTCAAACTCACTCCCCTTTCAGTTAGCAAAACCCTTCTGGGCTTAATTGATCCTTGCCAACAAAGAGTGACATGTTCTGAGCCATGCAAGAGAAAGTAATGTGAATATACAGATCCAAAGGCCCATTTTCAGGTGCAGTATTTGTTGCATTGTGTTTCAGGAGGATTTGTATATCCTTGTAACATGCAGGTGATACAATATGTAAGCAGAGTCTGAATGAGCTCTCCCCTGATGTCTAGCGGTGAGCTGTGGAAAAGGACTTCAGGAGCTGATCTCGTTGGCATGGAAACACCCTCCCTGCCTAGGTGCTCAGCATGAGGGGATTGCTTGCAGGGCCGGCTCTAGGCTTTTTGCCGCCCCCAAGCTCAGGTGGGGCTGGGGCTCGCAGGCGGCGCTGGACGCGGAGGGAGTGATGTCACCCTTCTCCCAGCGCCTGCAGGGGCTTTCCCCCCTCCCCCGCCCGGCCACGCAGAGAAGCCCCGATATAAGGGGTGGCACAAGGCAGCGCAGCAGCCAGGGCACAGATGAGGCGGTGCAGCCCCGGCTCCCCGGCTGGACTCGCCCTCTCGTCCCCAGGGAGTGGCAGGGCCCTGGCAGCTCAGCACCCCAGGGCTGGGGCTTCCCCTTCTCGCTGCGGCCAGGGGCACGGCGCCCTCGCCCCGTCTAAGTGGCGCAGCTCCGAGAGCGCCACTTCCCCGAAAAAAAAAGGGTGGCCGGAAGGCCGCCCCTGGAAATGTGCCGCCCCACGCACGTGCCGGCTTTGCTGGTGCCTAGAGCCGGTCCCGATTGCTTGGCCAAATGATCACTTGTGGCTGGTGTTAGAGCCCCAGTCTCCTTGTTATTGGGCAGGAGTAATAAAGCGTTGTTACCCTTGTTGTGTGAACCAAGGGCAGCAGAACTGTACCTGGCATACCCCGATGGAGGGACTTGCCCTCATCATTGGCACTTGCTGGGCAGGGGACCTGGGTTCCAAAACCCCATGAGTTGAGAGCGGGTGGAGACAGGTACTTGTATGTGATGGTGTGGGTCCTGTTTAATGGTCCTAGACACTATATGATCCTTTCTCTCTCCACAGCACAATAAAAGAGCTCATTTAGACTCAACTGAGAGTTTTGTTATACGGTACAGAGCTAAAATCGCTAATACCTAGGTTTAAGTATTAGACCTACTTTGGGACAGTGTCTCTATTGCAAGAGACTGCAGTGAGGTGCCCCCACTAACAGATGAAATCACCGAGAGCTGCGTTAAGCGGTGGGCCCTGAAAACATCTTGGTGAGTGGCCAGCCGGGTGGCTGATGGAGAGGTGCAGCCAGCAGGGCAGCTGGCGGAGAGGCGCGGCGAGTGGACGGCAGGGAGGCTGATGGAGGGGGCAGAGCAGAATCCCGCAGAGAAGCGCGGCAATCGACTGGTGGGGAGACAAGTGAGTGACTGAGCAGCGGAGCATGTAAGGTGCCTCCTTACCCCCCCCTTCCACCCAGGGTGGGAGGTGAACTATGCAGATGAACCTCTGAACTGAGGGGCAGCAGAGATAATGAGATGGTCTCTTAGGGAAACTGGCCCTGGGTCAGTATTGAAGAACTGTATATCTATTGATTTAGAGATGTAGTCAGAGCTTATTGCTCTAGCACTGGGCATCTAAGAGCAGTTGAAAATGACTGAAGATGCCCAGTTGGACAACATGGCAAATTGTTCCTGCTCATCTCATTAGCTACATCTGACTGTCATCAAACCCCTCATCACCATCCCTCAATAGTCAGCTGATAAATATCTAAAATGTCCTATCACCTGGTGGGCCAGATTCTGCTCTCATTTAGCCTGGCATAAATCCAGAGTAACGCTACTGACTGCAACAGTGGGCTCAAATCCCATGGCCAGGAGTGGTATGAAAAATCAGATAGATAGGCAATCTGGCCCAACTTTATGACTTGTAAATATGTTATTATTTAACATGCATTTTTAATCTTGTCACATAATATATACTGCACCTCTAGATCTGCAGTAAATTTTATCTGACGAGTAACAAAAAGGTGGGGAATAGAGCATTTTCACTACCTTGCTGTGATTTTGTTGTTTGCTTTCTAATGAAAATCTGCAAACTTCCATGCTCACTAAAGTAAGGTTGAGTCACTGTGAATGGCACAGCCGGGACTTCGGGAAGTTTTATTGGGGATTCACTCTTCCCTTTGAGCCAGGACTCAACCCATGTCCCAGCATAGTGTTAAGGAAAACTACTGCTTGGAGGTGTTGCCTTTTGGATGAGATGCAAAGCCAAGTTCCTGGTCACTTGTGATCAGTACAGAATCCAGGCCACTTTTCTTTGCAAGTGTATGTGTGCGACCCTCAACATCCTGGCAAAATTTCAGCTCTGATAAGTACTGTACAATCTACCTCCCTTAAATTTTCTTTTGCGGGTTTAACTGGATAAGATAGTCCTCACTTCCTGTCCTGAACTGTTGTGTAGAACGGCTCCTCACTTCCTGTCCTGAACTGTTGTGTAGAACGGCTCCTCACTTCTTGTTCTGAACTGTTGTGTAGAACTGCTCTGCACGGCCTCATTCCGCTCCAGCTGCACTGTTCTTTCCAAGCAAGAGTTTCGTTTTTACTACTATTTTCTCCCTTCAGCAATACGTTTGCTAAACAGAGAGTGGCAGGTCAATGTTTAAAACAAAATAATCGAACTTTCCGAGCTGCCCGACCTCTTAGGGTGTCCTTCAGAAGAACTACGGTTCTGTCCTGCAGCCTTCATTCGAATGCCATCGGACTGATTCCTCTTGCGTGGCTACATGCTGACGGATGGGGACCCGTGGGTAAGTTTCTCCCCTTGACACTAGTTTCAACCCAGAATAACCCCATTGACGTCCATAGTTACTCCAGATTCATACTGACTTCACTGAGAGCTGAATCCAGCCCTATATCACTTCCCCTTGAGTTACTCATCTTGGAAACATGAGTGCTTAAAAATCAAGGATTGGGTTCAAATTGTTCTCGTTTTATCCTTTTGAATTCCCAAGATTTAAGTGTTTTATTCCCCTCACTCTCTCTTGTTTGTTTGGCCAGAAGGTAAAGTAGTAGTAGCTTATCACCAGATGATATTACCTTTCAACTCTTCCCGCTCTGGCCTTAAGAAAAAAACTCCCCTACTTGTCCAGTCATGACCTCTCTTGTCCCCTGTGGATTACTGCTGCCAATCCATAGTCAGGACAAAACCACGCCAGATGTTGATGCAACACGTGAACGTTCTGTTCTAAAGCCCTTTTTTATTAGTATTATTATTGCTTTATAAACTACTGAAATGTATGGTTGGAGTCTGGCATGTGGTATCCCCCAGTTTTGGTCCCCCACCCTGGTTTCTGTGTGATGAAGTGGAGATAGAGTGTCAGGAGGAGAAAACAGCTCACCAACTTTAAGATTACAAGCCTGAGCCTGCTTCCATTGAAGTCAATGGCAAAGTCCCACTAACTTCAACGGAAGCAGAATTAGGCCCTTTCTGTCGGTGTCTAGGGTTAAAAACAATCCAGCAATTGTGTGAGGTTATTGCACTGCTATGCTCCAATGCTCCCCTTGTGAGTTTATGCACAAGGTCTTGGTTTTGGCAGGAATGCACAAGAGTGGAGTTCCCTGCTACCATGCAACTTGCTCATTTCTGACATATGGAATCCTCCTCCTGCCAGGCTTAGAAATGGGGCGGGGGGTTGCCCCCCTTCCTGATCTGCAGACTGTGTTATTGTGTAAAGTCATTGGAATGACTTCTCACCGCTGGACAGAAGGACTTGCTATAGTTCTGTTAATAGTGTCAACCAGCTTGAGAATGTTTCTGTTAAAACAGGAAACGATACTAGTACGGTGATTGCCTAGGATTTCATGGCTGCCATTGTGCTCTACGCTATGGCCATTCTGTGGGGGCACCAGGCCTGGAGCTCAGATCTTCTGGTGCCAAAAGCACAGGCACCTATCCCTCTTGTGGGGCCTAAGACTCATAGTTCAGCAGCTGTGAGTCTACACAACAGAAGGCAGAGTTGCACATACACACTGGCCCTTTCGCTGCAATGGGCCAGATCATGCCCTCCGTGTCTACACACCTCGGGGACACTTTGCACGTGGACCTCAACTCGTCCATGGTGGGGATTGCCCTTCCAGGGATGCAGATCCTGTTGATCGCTTCAGCCAGAGGGAGCACCTCGCAGTACAACTCCAGTGTAGCCACACCACCAGGGAATAGGGGTGCTGGGGACACAGCCAGGAGCTACTGGCCATGCAGATCCCGGACTCGCTGATGGAAGGCCCAGGAAGGGATCCTCACTGAGTTTTTTCCTCTCATAGCCCCAGGCGCCGACTTCCTCTGTTCCCCGGGGGTGCTCTACCCCTGCTCTGCCCCCACACCACCCCTGCCTCTTCCCGCCCCTGCTCCTCCTCTTCCCCCTCCCCCCCAGTGCCTTCTGCATACCTCTGAACAGCTGATCGCAGCAGGTGGGAGGCACATTTAGGGAGGAGGAGGAGCTGATCGGCAGGGCCCTCGGCGGGTGGGAGGTGCTGACCCATGGGGCTGCCAGTGGGTGCTGAGCACCCACTAATTTTTCCTGGTGGGTGTTCCAGCCCCGGAGCACCCCCAGAGTCGGCGCCTATGCTCACAGCCTTCTCCCCCAGGTTTTAACAGAAGAGAGTGCAATCCAGCCCAGAATTTAGCATCTGCGATCTTCAGGGCACTTCACATGCTGATCGCCACAATGCTCCATTGCCAGAGGCAGCCGTCACTGCTGGCAGTTTACAGTCAGGGAAAACTGGACTCCAAGCAGTTTAAATGACTTTCGCAAAGTCACGCTAGAGCAAGGGTTAGAACTCAGGACTTCCTGGTCCCTAGTTCCCACCGCCCTCTCTAGCAAAGATGTCTGTAAGGAACCATTCTAGAGGAAGGGCTGTATTTTATATAGAGATGAGTCTGAACCAAACCTGGGATCCAAACACCCACATGCATTTTGGCTAGGGCTCCTCTCTAATGCTTATTAGCAGCATGAATATACAGTAACCACCCCCATCTCGCTCACCTAGTTCATCATATCACACCAATGTCCACCCCAGACCTCTCGTCCCTGCCGTGCAATAAATTGGTCCCCTGGACCCATCTCTGAAATGTGAGCCATGCAACATCTTTTGGTTTTTGTGTTTGTTTTTTTCTTTTATAAACTCAGTGGGTTTATACCATTTCCTCCTCCCTTGCCTTCTATAGCCACTTTCTCTCTACAGTGGCTTATCCAGCCCAGGTATTACACATGTACAAACTGCAGCAAAAAACGCTCATCAGAAACACAACACAATGTGGAAGTGACCCCTGACACCAGCTTAAAATTAAACTGGATGAGCCTAAACCCAGGAAACTGCTCCCCCAGCCCACTTCCAGTGTAACAAATGAAAACCATTTGGTTGCTATTACCGGTGATTATGATAAGCTGTGTTAAAATATGAAGTGGGGGAATTTATCTTTATTTCCTGGGATAGTGCTGATGTAAACTGTGCTGCTCCATCTTGATTTTCAGCCACTTTAATGAACTCTGTCATGCATTTATCTGTATTTGGCTTGGTGCTTGTAGCTGATCTGGGGGTGGGGTAGGGAACTGGCGATTTAATTTCATGCAGATAAGCTTATGGGTTGCCCTCAGATCTGGCCTGATTGAAGACAATGAACAATGCAGTATGTCTGTCCTCTCATCGGGCTCCTTAGGGGAGAAGATGCAGACTTCTCCGTCATGGCGTAACCTTCGGCAAATGGTTTATGGCAGTTTTCACGATGAGTGCAGCTTCTCTCTAATTATCCTTTGCCAAAGCCCAGGGGGCGGTTGCTTCCACAGCCGTCTGCGCTGCTCATTTCTGAGACGAGCGTTAGCACTGGGAGAAGAAAACAAGATTAAAGAAAACCTCTCTTCCCACTTCCTCCCCACCTTCAGCGGTGAAACTGCAATAATAGTTGATTAAGATCATTTTCTTGTGCCCAAAGAGGATCCAGGGAGGGTGGGGTTGGAAATCAGTTGGGCAGCTGGTCCAACTTTTTGAAGTGGTACCTAGACACCGACAGAAAGGGCCTAATTCTGCTTCCATTGAAGTTAGTGGGACTTTGCCATTGACTTCAATGGAAGCAGGCTCAGGCTTGTAATCTTAAAGTTGGTGAGCTGTTTTCTCCTCCTGAGACTCTATCTTTGCTAGAGTGCAGCTGGGAGCAAGCTTCCCAGCTTGGCTAAACAGCACTAGATCTGCTTGAGCTAGTGCGCTAAAAATAGCAGAGGGTAGCACCGGCAGCAGCTCGGGCTACGTGCCTGTGCAAAAACCCACCCAGACCCGCTGGGTACGTACTTGGGTGCCAAACCTGCTAGAGAACTTACTAGTGAATTTCAGTTTCATGGTTGCACAAGGCAGTAAACACCTATGTAAAACCTGTGATAGTCTCACCTATGGAAAATACAGCCATTAAAAACAGTCTTCCCAGAGTACTACTGTATTGGGATGACACGCTCCTTTCATATGGTCTGATGCAGCACATACAGAGTCAGAAGGAGTTTTGCAATTCACTCCAAAGGGAGCAGGATTGGGACCACGAAGAGGAAAACTGGAAATATATTTTTCTGAATTACAATGAGCTGGAAGAAAACATAAAAATCATTACTCATGAAGTTTGGGCTTGTGGTCAATAATCAGTCGGACTGGTCACTAATAGAGAAAGATCTAGATAGCGTGGTAAGCTAGGCACAAGCAAACAATATGCATTTTGATATGGCCAAATGTAGAAAGAAAGAAAGAAAGAAAGAAAGAAAGAAAGAAAGAAAGAAAGAAAGAAAGAAAGAAAGAACGCAGTTCATACTTACAGGCTGGGTGACTTTATCATGGGAAGCAGTGACTCTGAAAATGATTGGGAGTTGTGGCAGAAAATCAGCTGAAAATGAGATCACAATACAATGCTTTGGCCCAAGGCTTAATGCAATCTTGGATGTATAAACTGGGGAATATCAAGTAGGAGCTGAGAGGTTATATTACCTCTGTATTTGGCACTGGTGCAACTGCTACATCCAGTTCAAGAAGGATGTTGATAAATTGGAGAGGGTCTGAGAAGAGCCCTGAGAATGATTAAAGGATTAAAAAACATGTCTTATAGTGAAAGATTCAAGGAGCTCAATCTACTTAGCTTAACAAAGAGAAGGCTAAGGGGTGATTTGATCACAGTCTATAAGTACCTACGTGGGGAATAGAAATTTGATACTAGAGCTGTTCAATCTAGCAGACAAAGGCATAGCAAAATGCAATGACTGGGAGCTGAAGCAAGACAAATTCAGAATCACAATAAGGCATAAATTTGTAATAGTGAGGGTAATTAACCATTGAGCAATTTACCAAGGGTTATGGTGAATTCTACTACACTGGACTTTTAAAATCAAGATGTTTTTCTGAAAAAGATGCTTTAGTTCCAAAGGAATTAATTCAGGAAAGTTCAATGACTTGGGTTTTGCAGGAGATCACTGGATGATCCCAATTGTTCCTTCTCACTTTAGAATCAACGATTTTTTTTTTTTTTTTTGCTAATATGCATTGAAATCAACAGGGCTACTTTGATTTGCACCCGTTGAGGATCTGGACCAGAGCAGCTGTGGATAAAAGGCAGGACACAGAGATGAAAGCTATAATATTCTTAATTTTACTCTCAACAATTAGTGTCATCTTAGTTGTTCTGAAAGCAACTCACACTATTAATGCTCTGTGCCGTACATTCGTTCTGTGCACTGAAACAGGGGCATTTCCCACTGGAGCACAAAACAGCCCTGCAGAAGAACAGCTCAGTTCAGTCGATTTATTTTTTCTGCTCAGCTTCTTTCAGACACTTAACTGCAACAGGTTACAAATTATAAATCTCCTCCTGAGTATATCCTGCTGGATATGCCGCACAAGAAACTCACTCAATTTTCTATTGTGTTTTTCCCCTTTAAAAAAAAACAACCCACACACAGTACAGCTCAATTTAACAGATGTTTGCTTATTTATGACAAAGTCCTGGTTACAAGATGGGGCAAACTGTCTGGTTCTCGAACAAAAGCAACTATATTAGGTAGCTACAAAACCCTGCACAAACACAAGGAAGAGGAAACACAACAACAGGTGAGAAGTGACAGATAAGACATAATGGTCATTTTGCAGTATGTGTCATAAATGATTTGCTGTCTGTCACTCCGTTCTGATCTGAGATCATTTTTTGATGCAGAAGTTATTACCCTTTTATTTTATAAGAGACATTTGTATTTCTGTACTTATAGTTAGATTCATGTCATGTGTATATTTGTGCTATGAAACCACAACTTTTGTTCTCTCCTTGCTGCATCTTCACATTTCGATTAGCTCAACTTGCATGCAAAGAATAATAATAACAACTGCCTTTTATCTAGCACTTTTCATCAGTAGATCTCAAAGTGGTTAACAAAGTGAGTCAGTATTGTTATCCCCATTTCAGAGATGGAGAAACTGAGGCACGGTGCAGTGAAGCCTAACATCACCCAGCTATCCATTGCTGGGAAGAAAACCCGTTTCCAGAATCCCAGTCCAGCAGTCTAGCCCCTAGGCCACACTGCATTCCGTATAAAGAGTTACAGTTTTGTTCCTAGAGTTGATGAAGCCTTTTATAGACAAAAGAAACAAAGACTGTGTTCTGTCATTGAGAGACTTTACTTTTGTTCTTTGTTGTTTTCTCCATCTAAAATGAAAAGTCATTCAGATGCAAAGAATGCAGTTGCTCTTTGTGCCTGGCAAAAAACAACACTTGTGACAGCAGGCGGATTGACAAGTCCTTGATTTAACCACTGAACAAACACCGTGCACAAAGTTGCAAGGCAGAATTCCAATTACCCTGCCACTGGGCCTCAATATCAGACTTAGGGTATGTTTACACTGCATGGGGTGTGACTGCAGCTCAAATAGATGCACCCAAACTAGCTTACATCTAGTTAGCTCGGGCATTGGAGCCGTGAAGTGGTGACAATGCGTGCTTCTGGGCAGGCTGTATACGCCCACCTGGAACCCCGGGCAATGCCTGTGTTGAATTCCATGCTACCACACCTTCACTGCTTCCATAACCAAGCTAGCTAGCTTGGATATGTCTACTCAAGTTGCAGTCACACCCTGTGATTGCAGACTAGACGTAACCTTAGGTAAATATACACTGCAGCCGAGAGCCTGCTCCCCAGCTCAGGTAGACAGACACCCATTAGCTCTGCTCGAGCTAGCGTGCTGAAAATAGCCGTGTAACTGGGGTAGCACGGGTGGCAGTTTGGGCTAGCCACCCAAGTACATACCTGGCTGGGTTTTCACGCAGGCAGGTAGCCCGAGCTGCGGCCTGTGCTACCCTCTGCTATTTTTAGCACACTAGCTCAAGCAGATCTAGTGCGTGTCTGTTTAGCCAAGCTGGGAAGCCTGCTCCCAGCTGCACTGCAGCAGTATCCTTAGCAGGACTACCCCTGAATTCAGTGCCCATGCCCATTCGAATCCACGGTCACCATGCAGATTGACACTTCCTGTGCGTCTGGTTTTTGGCGTGTGGGCACTTGGCCACTGAGATCCCTCACGAGCCTTTGGTCACTGCCTACGTGAGCTGAATCTGCAGTCGCAACCAGAGCCAGGTGATGTTTTTCAACTGAAACTTTCTTTGGTGAAAAATGAGGCGTGCGTGGCATTGAGTCAATGTTGCCAAATTGTTTCAAAATAATTTCCTTTTTAATTTGGCCCCAAATGTTTTTTTCCCCAAGTTTTCATCATTATCGGTGAACCACAAAAGCCATTATTCACACAGCTCTAGAAGAAATCTTGGGGGGAAAGCCTGGTAGCCCACTACCAATCCCCTGAGCTGGCCTTTGTGGAGAGCACACACAGGAAAAAGGTATTTTAGCCTAATCTGTGCATTCGTTAAGAACAGCAGCACAGACGTTGTTCAGTGGCCATTAACCTTGATGGGGGAGACAGACTTACATCCCTGTATATCAAGATGAGCATATAATATACCTCTTTAGGGTCCCATTTGCAGCACATGTAATTAGCAACCTCCTGAAGTTAACAAGAGGTCTGAGCATAGATCAAACATAAGCTCAGAGGTATGCTTCAGTCTTGCAAACCTTTACTCATGTAAGTAATCCCATTACATCAGGATTGGATCAAATCCTTCTCTCAGTCGCCATCCCATTTAAATCAGCCGAGTTGTGCTGATATAACTGAGAACAGAATTTCATCACTAGTTTGTATTGGGTAGAAAAATTTGTGAAGGAAAGATGGGCCAAAGGTTAAGGCACTGGCCTGAGATGTGGCAGACCTGGGTTAAATTCCCTCCTCTGCCCACGACTTCCTGTGTGACCTTGGGCAAGTCACTTAGCCACTTAGTTCCCCATCTATGCAATGCGGGGAATAATGCTTCCCTAACTCAGAGGACCGCTGTGAGGATTAAATACATTAAAGACTGTGGAATAGCTTTGCAACCTACTGATAAAAAGTCCTATATCAGATAGAGACACTATTATTTTATTCACAGAATGAAATGCTGTGTCTGAGACAGGGGGAGAACTGAAAGTGACAAGACATTTTGGCTCACATTCTGCCTTCAGTTGCACCCCATATAACTTAATTAACTAAAGCAACCTTAGCTGACTTCAGTGAGACTGTACATGTGTAAGACGGAGGAGAATTTGGCCCCTGCTTTGTTGTTTGGGGAATTTAGAATGCAATGAAAGTTCCTGGAGTAAGGACAAATAGGTCCAGTGTTGATTAGAAGTGAGAGGTCAGGAAAGCAGTGTGCCGTTTTGTATCAAGAGCACTGCTCTGGTTACTGTTAAAATGCCTAGGGCCACATTCATCCCTGGTGTAATTCTGCTAAACCAATAGAGTTCCACCAAGATGAATTTAGCTCATAGTTTGGAAAGGAACTTAGCCAAGATCTCTGGAGTATAAAGCCACAAGGTGCACTAGCAGAGGCTATAAAAACCCTGCAGGAGACTTGATTACTGAAAACTCTCTTTAAAAAGATAAAATAGAACAATATAATGTGAGTCTATTGTGACTTTAACACTGGGATCCTCCCACTGAACAGAAGGCCTTAATGTGCTGTGTATTATCACATGTATTACAAAACCAACAGCACAGGAATAAAGCTTCAGCATTGTTGCATGTGTGTACGTGTATATATATTTTTCCTATTGTTTAATTGCTATAATTTCCTGCAGTACATATGTGCACACAACCACACATACATTCACACACACGCATATGTACCACAACAATAACTTTTAGCAATAAACTCAATAGCTGGAGAAGAGAACCATTTCCCATTGCTACTTACACCGAGTGACCAAGCTTTGGGTGTAGAACCCCCTGGGTTTGAAACTTGCAATCCCCCTTGACATCGTCTATCTCAGACTAGCCCTCTCCATTAATTGCATTAAGGTTTTTTTTATATTTTGGCTCATAGCTTTATTTTTTATCTATTAATCTGAGTGATTTTAAGGGATTGTACAGCATCCCAGTTGTTTAGCAGGTCTGAATAAGCAACAAATGTACACTAAACATGGATCCACGCTGCAAAACTGAGAGTGAGAGTTGGATTTCAAGAACACTGATGTTTGGAGGTTTTCAGATCCAGGGTTTCAATCTTTATATTTTGTAGGACCAGATCCTAGGCTGGTGTAAATCAGCCTAGTCTATAAACATTAACTGAGCTACAATGGTCCAGTGGGTGCTGTGATGCCTCCCACTGCAGCTCTGGGTTACTATGGTTCCTCCTGTGGCTGTGAGCGCTGTCGGTCCTTTTACAGCTCGTCTGACAACATCTCTTTAACCTTATGTGGGCAAGCTGTTGCCAAGTTGGCCCAGTCCCGTCCTTGCCGCCCACTGGGCAGGCTGATGAGCCTCTCAGTGAGGGTGCAAATATAATGTGCCACTCACTCTCTATTTCAGCACAATGTTTTGGACATATTACATCCAATTCTCCTTGACGCTATGTGATCTTAGAAGTGTAAAAAAGCCTGAGTGTAAATGAGAATTCAGGCTCCATATTTCTCTGTGTACGTTTTTTACATTAAAGGGAATAATTGGAACCACCAAGCAGCATTTTGCCCTCAGTGACACCTCTCCACAGAACTCCGGGGAGATTCCATAACTCTTTAACAGTCCAAAGCCTAATAATATCCAATGACTAGATACATTCAGGCTAGAGATAAGGCAAAACTTTTTCAGTGTGTGTAATTAATCATTGGAACAACTTACTGAGGGCTGTGGTGGATTTTCCATCCCTTGAAGTCTTTAAATCAAGATTGCTTACCTTTCTAAAATACAGGCTGCACAAGATATGGGTGTGACGGGTTGGACTCCCCTTTCAGAGTGCCACCAGACGTACTGGGGTCCCACTGAGCCCGCCTGTCCCACCAGCCTGGGCTCCCCTTATTCCGTGGTGCTGTGACAGGCTCTCAAGCCCCTTTCCAGCACACACACAGGTAGGGACACACCCACCTGTAGAATCACACAGAGTCTGCAATCAGCTCTGTGTGGGAGGACTCAGCTAGGGGATTTCCCAGCACTCCTGTGCACACACTCTCTGTGTAAACCCAAAATTGTATTGTCTTGCACTGTATAGAGATCTATATAGTGTAAGCTCATGAAAATTGCCCCCTCCCTCAGTGTGGAGGAAGATATGCACAGCTTATTTTCCCCCCCCCCCCCAGTTATGAATGGCACAAACTGGGTTTTGGAACAAATAAAGAACAAGTTTATTAACTACAAAAGGTAAATTTCAAGTGACTATAAGAGATAGCAAACAGAGCAAAGCAGATTACTGAGCAAATAAAACAAAAACACGCAAACTAAGCTTAATACACTAAGGGATATTGGCTACAATAGTTACTCACCCTACATGTTGTTTCAAGCACGCGTCAGAGTTTCTTGAAGGTAAACTGCACTGCTTTCAGCTTAAATTTTCAGGGATTCCTTTCACAGGCTGATCTGTCTCGCCTGGATTCAGCCCCCAGCCCCCAGCTTAGTTCCTTTGCTTCTTCAGGTGTTTTCAGCAGTCTTCCTTCTTGGGCGGGGAGGCAATGGAGAAGAGCCTTGATTAATTCACTCCCCAGCCTTGAATAGGATTTACATATGGCAAGAACCTTTTGTTTCCCAATCAGACCCCCATCCTCTTTTAATGGAAAAACACTGGAAGCCCAAGAAGGGGGTTTAGTACCAGGGGACACGATCACGTGATACTGCAGTGTCAAAGCAGCAACCCACGAAGCTTCTCATGAAGGTGGGAGATTAGTATCTTCAAAATTCTATTGTTCTTCCTAATGGCCCACCCAGGCTGACTGCCTTCTGTCTGGTGGGCATTCCCCAAGTACACACACAGTTGTAATTGTTACATAGTCAATATTCCTAACTTCAGATTCAGAAATGATACATGCATACAAATAGGAGAATCATATTCAGTAAATCATAACTTTTCCAATGATACCTCACATGTCCCCTCTTGCAAAAACATTTCTTAGTTATGCCATATTCATATCATAACAATATTTCTATGAAGAATATGGGGGTGTAACATCACAATGGGCTTGATGCATAAATTATTTGGTGATAGTCTATGTTCTGTGTTATACAGGAGGTCAGATTAGAAGCTTGTAACGATTCCTTCTGGCCTTAAAATCTATTAACGTATAGATGTAATTAAGGGCAGAAATATGCTTAAAGTAAATATGAAGGGAGGGGGGAAAAAGAATCACATTCTTGTAAATTTTATTATTATGGGGCTTCTGGTGGACCCACATTTTCCTCCAGTCTTTGATTATCAGGAAGCAAACTTGCATTCAACAACCTGTCATTCCCAATCAATCAAGAAATGTTCTGTTCTGCTCCTTCCACCCAGTGGACCTGAGAGAAAGTCAGCCAGGCTGGGGCATCATGTGAAGGCTAACTTAAACACTTTAACTTTCCAAAGGGCGAAAGGCAGTCGATGGGATCACTGCCCAGAGAAATCAGTCCACAGCAGTGGAGCAGAGCCATGGATAGCTCTTCCTCCTGCTGTCTTATGGGGAAACTGTCCGTAACCCATCAACCATTCATTATAAAGTGCATGCTGGGGAGTGAAAACAACTATCTAGCTCAGGAAGCTAGGGAGGGGCTACATAGGCAATAACTTTAGTGACCAATATGATTTTTTTAAGTTGGATCTGAAATATTAGCAGAAACCAAAGCATGCAGAAAATGATTCAATGAGCCTGTAATTATTATAATCCTCAGCATGAGTTATCAGTGGGGTTTGAACCCAAGAACTTCAGAAAAGTGCAGACTTCTGCTTCAGCTAAAAGAATAACGCTATTAGCTGGCAGAGGTAGTAGGTTGTTATCCTCCATGAACACCAGTAACTAGAAGGGGACACACTACACACCATGCAAGCTTGTTACATAACCAGAGCTCTAACCAGTCACGAAACTCAGCTGTGTGCAAGAAAACTCAGATACAGACATGCAGACAAGCCTACCACACAGCATTTGTGTTCCTGGCGTAGTAACACAAAGGAGGGTGATTTGTGATTTATAAAGAGGCTAGAAATTCCTACCTCTGAACCTTTTTCATATCAATAAACCCATTTTTGAGGGCTGAAAAAGTTAGGCTCACTAAGTTAATCAATCGAGAATTTGATTGCTGACTGCTCCTTTCATCATTTTATACTGTAGCCAGAAGGATGAAGACCACATTTGAGGAGCCTGTTTGCTCAAGCAACTAGACCAGGAAATGCTTGAATCAGGGAGTAGAATGATATTACATACAAAAGGACCTGTAAACTACGTATGGTGGCATCAAATCACGTTGCAATTATATCAGATCCATTTGGAAAGGAAGGAGGTGAACCACTGAAGCAGCTCGTCTTCCACTTTTACCTAAGGTGAAAAATCAATGGCACACAAACGCTCTTGAAGATTTTCCACATAAGTGGCTTGCCCACAGTCATATTGGAGGGCTGTGGTGGGGCAGAGAATTCAACTCAGTCCTCCCACTTTCTAGGCGAGGGCCTTAACCACTGTACCATTCTTCCTTTATGGGGCTGGGGACGCATTAAGGAGCCACTTGTCGTAACACTAAAAAGTCTGCCATCGCGACTACAGCGGTTGTGTAGCCATGTTGCTCTCAGGATATTAGACAGACAAGGCAGGTGAGGTGATATCTTTTAGTGGACCAACTTCTGCTGGTGTGAGAGACAAGCTTTTGACCTTACACAGAGCTTGTCTTCAGGTCAGACCTAACACAAGCTCTGTGGAAGCTCAAAAGCTTGTCTCTCTCACCAATAAAAGATCTCACCTCACCCACCTTGTCTCTGGAATTGAGAATGGCCACCTTTACCAAAACACCTGTACAGTTATACCACAGAACAGTGTGCCCTGGCTAGAAGAGCTGCAGAAAGCAGGACTTTCTGTGGCCCACGCGGAGTCCGTGTTTTCTCAACGGCAAGTGTTAAAACAGATGAGAAAAGAAAAACTTGGCACCGTTTTTCGGTTGAGTCTGGTACTTGATGCAAAAAGCTGATATTTCAGATGGCTTAGGTCTTGGCAAGGCGAAGCAGCATTAACAGGAGGCTACAATGCACACTGTGTGGTCATGCCAGAGCAGTGGCTGAAGGCCGAAAGCGCTCCAGCACGGTGCAAACGTGTTTAAGCTATATTTGATCATGTGCAGCGGAGGGCGGACTGGGGAACGGTTGAAACCGGTTCGCTTCTCTTTGACATCATCGCTCGGCGGAATGAATAGAAAATATTGTTCACCGACCACTTCAATATTGCTCTTGAACATTGTTCAAGAAAGGAAAAGGGCAGCGGGAGGGGCGGGGAGACAGCACACTCCAGGCCTAGCCCAGGAATGATTTCAAAGTGCTGAGAGGATATCGACAATGATCGCCTTGTGACTTTTATTTATTTATTTATCTAACCAAAGTAGGATGATGGGAGGGGGCGGGGGAAGGAGAATCGCAAGTGAGACAAATACAGAAACTGGCTAAAGAGCTGACGCCTCTCACCGTGTCTAGCTTTGGGCCCCATCCTGCTCCCTAGCAAAGATCTTCAGTGGGAGCAGGGTCAGACCCTCCTCTCTAGCAGCCGTGGTATTGACTTCCCAATAGGCCCACATCAAACACAACCATTATTATTTTTAGTACAGCAGAACCGAGACAATCCCCTCTCCCCCGCTGTGCTGGGAAGCATGCATACACTGAGCAGGAGATAGGCCCTGCCCTGAAAAGCTTATACTCTAACTAGATCAGCCAGACAGAGCGTTGCAGGGGTTACAGAGGCACAGAGAGAGGAAGTGGCATAACAAAGGTCAGTGAGAGAGCAGGGAATAAAACCCAGCTCTTCGGAGTCCCACTCCAGTGGCCTGACAATGGTGCCTCCTGATTACGACAGCTCGTGTTTTTGTAGCCCTTTCAAACACAGTAACTAATTAATTTTCCCAACCCCCCAAATGAGATAGGTAATTACAGTTATCCCCATTTTATAGATGGAAAACTGAGGCAGGGAGGACACATCCTGGGAGGTGCTGAGGCCCAGATCCTCAAAAGTATTTACACACCAGGTGCCCATTGAAATCAATGGGAGTTAGATACCATTGAAGATTTGGGCCTGAGAACTTAATCTCGATGTAAGGACCCAGTGCTTCGGCCTTACTCCACAAGTACTCCCTTTGACGTCCGGGGGAGCTTTTTGATACTCGCAGCCACAGAGTTAAGTGATTAAAGGTGTATTTAGGAGCCTAAATTTAGGAACTTGTTTTTGAAAATGTCAGCCAAACTTTTCAAACATGGGCCCCTAAAGTGAGTCACTTAAAAGCCATATGGAAACCTTTAAACAAGCAGCTTGGTTTTCAGAGGTACTGAGCAGCTATGGCTTCCACTCACTTCCTTTTACCCTAGCCCCCAACATTGTGGAGATGGGAGGGAAAGGGGTTTGGACAAACACTTTTGGTGCCTCTGACTGATGAGCATTTGTTGTGCGCTCGCTTAAATGTCATTGCTTAACCAAGATCTATACTCCGCCACAGACCTCACCACTTTGTGTTGCCAGGGCAAGGTCCACTTCTATCTATCTGTCTTAGGGACTTAGATGGTCCCCAGCACCATAGTATCCGAGCTCCTCACGATCGTGGACATATTTATCCTGGAAACAGCCCCGTGATGTAGGGAATTGCTATTATAGCCCCATTTTACAGATGGGGAACTGAGGCACAGAAAGACTAAGGCCTAGATTCACAAAGGCACTTAGGTGCAACGATGCTGAGTGTCACATAGAAAACCACAGGCACACATTGTGATTCACAAAGCCTGAAATTCGGAGCCTAGGGTCCCGATACAATAAATGGGGACAGATGTCACCTTACACTGCGATGCACAAAAGCCAGGGTGCTAGGTGAGAAGTCAGCTCAGATAGCCTATGGGAGACGCCAACAAGAGGGGTATGTGCTAAGCCCTGCCCCTGTCTTAGACATAAGTGCTTAAAGCTGAAGTGCCTATCTCTGCTAGCAATTCACGGCCACTTTCTTTGGAGTCAGACACCCTGGTCAAATCCCTTCTCATCAGGCGAAGGGAGGATTTGAACTGGGGTTCTCCCACATCCTGGGTAAGTACCCTAACCACAGGGCTAAAAGTTATGAGGGAAATGATGCTGCTGCCCTACCGGACTGGGCCCTGCACATGACTGCGACAGACAAACTTCCCATGGCTTGTGAATTGCTCTGGGGCTTAGGCAGGAGACAGGTGCCTGGACAGCAGGAGGGAGGCAGCAGGACACACACCCAGAGGCACAAACATAAGTGTTTAGGGAACTTTTGCTGCAAAAATGTAGCCGCTGAGTGAGTTTTGGTGCTTACAGGGTTCAGTGGGAGTTTTGTGAATGGCAGCATGGCCTAAGACTGGGATTTAGGCACCCAAGTCAGGGGTTTAGGCTCTTAGTACTTTTGTGAGCCGTGCCCTACGTGATTTGCACAAGGTCACCCAGGACATCCCTGGTAGAGCGGAGACTTGAACCCAGTATTCCAGGCATGTGC